GTTTTATCAAAACGCGCGAATATTTTTGTTGCCTTTTTTCAATGTTTTGTTAATCTTTCATTAAATGAAATGAGATTTTGAGAATATAAAATAATAGCGAAACCTTTTTCTCATACAAAATGTGGGTGGAAATGTGGAGACATTCATGAAAAAATCGTTTGAGCGTTTTTAAAAATGCGTAATTTTTAGCTATTTTCACAACTTAGAAGAAAGTTTAGAAAACTTTTGAGATTTTGAGTTATTTCATTAGAAATCTTTCAAAGTATTTGTGTTCATAAATGCATTCAATTATGAAATACAATTGTATTCTTTTTTATTATAAAGAATAAAGGCGCACACTCCTCTTCAGAGACTTTTTTTTGAGTTTTTGATAAACTTCATTAGAAGTAATTTAAAGCAATTTAATTCACAAATACAATAGTGCTTACAAATTGCTAGATGCATATATAGGAAAGTAAAAACACTACTAGAAGTGCTTCAAGTGCACATACTATCTCCCATTTGGAGCCAATATTGAGAAAACTTCAAAGAAGCGTGACGTAACGTACCCCCGAAAATTTGCAAGAGGCCGCCACATCAGCCACATCGATTGGGGAATATCAGTTTTGGTGAAAATCATGCTTACGGCTTAGTCGGTAGCTTTGTTTACACACGGACGGACGGATGGACTGATAGACGAACGGAACTGACATACTAGTGACATTGTGTCATATATTCTTTTCGATTTCAAGGGACCATTAAACGTGGAACCTGAATTCAGAACTTGTTAAAGGAAGTTATTTACTACTTAGAGGAAGAACACTACTTTATTTGGTGTTAGTGACCGACAAAATGAGTTTTTCTGCCGAAAAATCACCGTTTTTGCTGCATTACAATAATTTGTCTGTAATACGTAAGTAGAGTGCGAAAGACTAAAACAAAGACAATTTGATCACTGACAAATGTGAGCTTGCAATTATTTTAAAAGGACTCCATACGTTGGTTTTTTAAACACCTTGTTGCTTCCTTCTGTTGAAGAGCAAATTCGGGGATGGCGATTACATATTTCATCACGATGGATCACCTGCTTATACTGCACGGTATGTGGCGGAGTTTACACGACCTGTTTACCTGTTTACACGACAATAACATCCCTGTAATGGACTGGCCTTAACAGACTCCTGACTTGAATCCTATCGAACACCTTTGGGATGTTTTGGAATACTGACTTCGTGCCAGGCCTCACCAACCTACATCGATACCTCTTCTCAGCGCAGCACTCCGTGAAGAATGGGCTGCCCAAGAAACTTTCCAACACCTGATTGAAAGTAAGCCTGCGGGAGTGGAAGCTGTCATCAAGGCTAAGGGATGGAGGGCGCCAAGAACTGATAAGTCATTTTCAGCCACGTGTCCGGATACTTTTGATCAGATAGTGTATGCGCATCAGGGGGTCAAAGTGCAGTGAGAAAATCGAGGATGAGGGACGTCGCGTCGGTATCCAAGCAGAGAGATCATTAAACACAACGATGATGCCCACATGCAACTCCATGGCGCTCACCACGATGAAGCGGAGGGAGAAGTCCACTGGGCATCCAGTATATTCCTTCAGCTTAGTTCGACCTTACTGTGGAATGGCGGAGAACTTCACGTCCGCACACTGACAGCATCCATCAAGAGCATCGATTGCGGTACCTTTCTTCTAAAATATCGGATTTTTCTCTCTCGCAATTCGACCATTCTACTCTTCTTGTCAAACTCTGTCTCCTCGCTGCTTCGCTTTCCCTGCCAGGCCTCTCGAAGGCGGCAGCGACACCAGCGACCTCGCGAGGTGCATCTCGGGAGCAGAGGAGTCTGCGCGGTAATTAATTCCGCGCGCAAGCCGATACACTTCCAACGGGGGGGAGGGACATGGGGCTCGTCAAGAGTGTTGACAAGGGGGAAGGGGAAGGCGGTGGCAAGCCCCTGCTGCGCTTAGGGCACGCAGCCATTGCAGGACTCGGAACTGGCGAACGAATCTTGCGAGAACAACAATGTCGAATCAGTGTTGACCAGACTATATTTTAACTATCGGTTCTCTCCCATATTTTTAATATTTTTAAAAAAATCGATAAAAGAAACGCTTCGTAAGGTAACATGCCTCCACAGAAAAGTTTTAATTCAACATCCTTCCACAGATTTATGCATATAGGAATTTAAGAACGTAACAATATTCCGCTTAGAGGTTACAAAAGCGTTCACAAAGCTAATTGGTTCTGTGAGTATCCTGTATTTTTCTTCTTTCTGATGCGTATGTCAGCAGCCTATTGGTGTTCAGCCAGAATTTCGCAGAATTAAGCGCGTCTGTTTATCTGCGTGTCCGTCAGTCTGTGGTAAACGCTAGCCCCTAAACTGTTCAGCCGGTTTTCTCCAAAATTGATATTCCCCGATCGATCTGAACGAACTTAAGGCTTTAGGAGTTTTAAACGGATATTTCGATTTTTAAGGGTACTTAACATGAAGTCTCAGATATATTTAAAAATTTGTTCTCTAAAATGGCACCATTTTTTATTAAACTTTGCCCTCGGATAGTGTAAAGAATGCTTAACAATGAAGGTCTCATGTTTGTTGAAATCCCTGATTTTCCCAAAATTGCAAAAGTTAGAAGATGTTGCAAGAAAGAAAACCTGTAGGAAGATGCCCAAATATGTTTTGGGCATCTTCCTATAACCATAATATTGAATATAGAGTTTTTTTTCCTTAATCAAATATGTCCTACTGGCGGATGTGATATGCAGCAGTAGAAGGTAAATTGGCAGGTGTGAACTTTTTGTATGTCATTGCCCGTCATCCTTACATAAATCTAAATTCTTACCTGAACGAAGGACCACCACAATTAGAAGTTGTGAAAATGCATGTAGCTGAAAGATAATTAATTGGAGGGTTGTCACCATCACTCAGAAAGAATTTATGGCATTCAAGTTAATATATGTAATTGAACTATGAAATTATTTCAAATAACGGTAATTTATAAACCTTGTATTCAGTACGAAAGCATACTTTATTAAATTAAAGAAATACAAATAATGTGATTGAATGTACGCATAATATGCCGTGATTAATCATAATGAAATTGAGATTCACAGTTTATGATAGGCATGAGCAAAATAGAACAATTAAGAAGAGTTCACAGTAGAACTGACTCGTAATGCTGTAAAAATGACACAAAAATGATACTGGAGGCGGCGTAGAGTTGCACAGCGCGACAAATGCTGTGCGTGCCGAGGTGACGAATGACTGGCATCCAGTTCAGTCCAGGCATGGAGTGTCGTGCTGCGCCGACGTGTCAATGCTGGCAGGTTGGCAGGCTTGCCATACAGTAGAAAACGCTAGCACATTCACGATACACGAGGAGAACGTATTCCCCCTAGAATGATTGCCCGCACAGTCCCTTTTTAAGCAGGAAGATTAGACACAGTACTCTACTAAGATCTCAACTAAATCTACATTAGCATTCAGGGATTCCAAACAATGCTTAACTGTTTCGTTTAGGAAGTTCACATCTGCTGAAGAAATAAAATTAAGAATTTAGAATAAAATAAGCGAACTGAATTGACTAGAAATGTGAATCCTCAAAAGCGGACGTTTGGCATTAATAGGTTAATTCTTTAAAAAGCAAATACCTCTTAACCTACCTAACATGAGTAGCTCGCCTGATAATTCAATTTCTAGAACTTCTCTCATCTTCCGAGGTTATGTTTATATCCTAAAAGCGCGAGTCTCCCCGCGGCCCGTGTGCGCCACCGAGCTCTTCCCGCTCGTCCTTTGGATTTCCATACCGAGCCGCCCCCGGAAGGGCGTCCGACGAAGGTGCGTCCTACGAAGCCAATAGGACACGCGCCGTCGACACCCGGAGGGGAGAGGATTGGCCTTGTCTTCCGGGAAGACGCCGCCCACGTGGAGGCAAGGAATAAAGGCCCGTGCGCCCAGTGTCTTTTCCCCGCGCGTCGTTATTCGTCTGTCGGTATGGATCTGATAAACCCCACAATTTCGGTGGAACTAATTGGCAATTCGGTTTTCTTATATACAAATTACCCCTATAGGAAAAGAAGTTCAAATGTAGAATTCTAATAGATTAAATTGTTTATGTTTTTACACAAAGAGGTTTGGACACAAAGTTACGTATGCCAAGAATAAGACAAATGAAAGATGAAAGCGGTCTATTGGGCGGCTATCGATTGATTGATTAGTGATTCCGTGATCTGTTTAGAGCATTAATGCCGAAAGTATAGTGCGTGTTGTATCCAGGGAGGTGGCGGTGATCCCAACCAGGTATCTCCCACCAGCTGGGCACCGCCCCAACTGGGACACACTCTAAACTCCCGAATATTCCCTCTGCATGTATGGTACTGTGGTGTATGTAAGTGTAAATGTGAGTTGATAAGGAGTGAGGATACGGCAAGGGAGAGGAAGGAAAGATGGCGTGTGGTCTGTGGTCCGTTTTATAGGCTATTGCTCCGGCATTGGCCTGGAATTAATCGGAGAAACCAAGGGAAACTGATGCTCAGAGTAGCTGCTGAAATTCTCCCCCTGACAGCGAGCAGTTAAATTCGATTTAGCTACGTAGCTAGTGTAAAAAATTCTGCCACTGTCAAGACTCGAACCGCAGATTCTTGCAGTCACAGGCACTGCTGTGATATCAACTAATGTCCTGAGTCGGTTCAAAAATTTGAATTATACAAAAACCAAATAAAGCGAGATATACACTTTATCGTGACGACGCAGTGTGTGAGATCACAAAACGCTACATTCAACTGACAGTTTTTTCTCCTGTTTCGAGTTTCCTCGGGTCGGAAAAAAGAGGGAAAAACACATAAGGGCAAAGGGCGAAGAAGTTTTAATTCCGGAGAAGAGCGTCCGATTGGGCTTCGCTTGGAAGAAGTAACTCCGCGTGGCGCCGCCGCGCTTCATCAGCGCCCGTGTCGCGCGCCGTCATCGCGGGATTGCCTCCTGATACAATCAGCACAACAGGGAAAGGGACGCACCGCCTCGCCCGCCCCGGCCCCCGCTCACGGAGGGGGCGCGAAGACGGCGCCCCACGCTCAGAGCTCCGGCGTCACCGCCGCCGCCACCACCGCCGCCGACGGCGGTGGGGTGGCCTGAGCGGTTGGCGGCGTCAGTGGTGTTGGTGGTGCCGGTGGTAGGTGGTGGTGGCGGGGGCTGCGGCGGTGGTGATGATGGGGTGGGGGTGGGGGGTGGCGTCAGTGGTGTTGGTGGTGCCGGTGGTGGTGGTGGTGGCGGGGGGCTGCCGGCGGTGGTAATGATGGGTTGGGGGTGGGGGTGGGCGTCAGTGGTGTTGTGGTGGAGGCGCGGGCGGTAGCGGTGGCGGCAGTGGTGGGTGGCGGCGGTGGTAGTGTAGGGTGGGGGTGTGGCGGCGGGAGTGGCGGGTTGGCGCTGGCTTTGGTGGTGGCGTTTGCGGTGGCGGAGGCGGAGGCGGAGGCGGCCGGCGGCGGCGGTTGCGGTGGTAGTGATGGAGCGCGGGTGGTGGCGTGCAGTGGGGCCGTGGCGGCGGCGCCGGTCATGATCGTGACAGCGGCAGAGGCGGAGGGCGGCGGTGGCGGTGGCAGTGGCGGTGGCAGTGGCGGAGGTAGTGATGGGGTGGGGGTGGTGTCCGTGGCGCGAAACTGCCCCGCCTTCGAGATGCGTGCCTTGATTCTGCCAGGAAGATGTTTTTTGTGGCGACTTTTATTCATAGCAGACAGCGTATTGCGTTTTGGGAAGATTTGTGAATAGTTCGCCTATTTCCCAAACTTGTATTTGCCTACTTGAAGCAAAAAGGTCTTGAAATAAAGAAGCTTCCAATTTAATGTGTTTCATAACGAGTTACTGTCTTTATATGGGGGAGAGCGCTCACAAAACTAACCTTATATATACTAAACTTACAATCTACACTTAGTAGAAGATTTATATGCTTCTGCATAATTCGACATCATTATACTTATTTACATTGTTAATAGTTTCGAGTACTTACTAATAATAATAATAATAATATAATAATAAGGAAGAAGAAGAAGAAGAAGAAGAAGAAGAAGCAGAAAAAGAGTAGAAGAAGAAACTTTAAAAATGAAATTAAAAAAAAAATAGAAAAATAAAATTACTACACTAACATGCAAAACACCTACAAAACTGAATTTGTTTTTGAGGCTAGTTCTTATATCTTATAACTTATTCGATCAGTCCTTTAAAGTCTGTCAGCTCGACTTGCTTTTTCTGTTTCCTGGGCGCACAGACCTTTGCCCACACATGCAACTTTGCATGTTATTCGTCCACAACATCGCAACTTGTTATTCGTCAGCAGCTGCTATCAACTTGAAGGTGCCACGCGCACAGTTGTTATCTTAATTAATAATTCAATAAATAAACTATCATTAGCCTTACGTGGAGAAGAAACGATCATTTTCTTTGTGATTTTGACACGCCGGTACAATGCCTACAGAATTTATTTTGTGCGCGACGCTGTCTCTACGAAATTGCTATTATAGGACTCCTGCTTTGATATGCTTGACCGGCATCAGTGAAAACGGAATTATAGATTTTTCGTTCTTCACCCTGTGTAATCTGCCAGTACGAAAAGGGTACACTGTATACGTGGACCTCTGACTATCGGGTAAATTTCCAGATTGGGTGCAAGGTAGGGAGGGGCGGCGTAGACATGCATAGAATGGACATCCAATTAGAGGTGGGGATACAATAGAATCGGACAGAAATACTCTCCCCCAGAGGGCGGGAAATTCGGCTGAAATTGCTCTTCCCAATCTAATAAATTGTTATGTCTATTCCACTCGTGAAATTGGAAACCAATAATGTTTTAACTACTTTGGTTGGCCCAAAATGCTCCAATCGGGGCGGTGTATCTCAAAACGTTTATGCGCTTTTTCTATCCGGTTTTTACTTACGGCCTCTACCTACTGGCCAATCATAAACTGTGACTCCTCTATCTTAGGAGGTGTAATGCATCGATCGCATGCTATGTTGCAATAAACAGCGTATGTATTATAAAGTAATTCTCGCTCCCGGTGTCGGGATTTTATCGACATTTTTCCAATAGCACTCTTGGTATTTCGGGCAACTTCATCCTAGTTCGGGTACTTCATCTAGTTTATTAATTAAAACGTTTTCTACATAATTAAGGTATCCATTAGTAACCATTTTTCTTCACATGTATACAATATATCTGGACGAGATTTTTGTTCTAATATTAAATAAACTTGTTTTAGACAAGTCACCTTCGCTATTCTGGCCGATTTTCTTCTGAAATTGCACTTGTCAGGGCATAGTCGTCAGTAAACCTCAACTCGGGGTCAGGTGTTCTTTTATATTTTCATTACATCACCTTTTCAATAGTTACGCCAATAACTCTTTGGAGCGGGGCGCGATGATGTGGCGAACCATTTTTGGCATTAAGTGTCCGGGGAGGGGTGGGGGGGAGGCGGAAAATAATCACTACGCGCGCAAGCGCCACATAACCTCAAACTGGCGAGCCTCTCCTCCTCGCTGGAAATTCGGCCACCGAATAAAGCGGCCAGGGAGAGTCTCTGAGACTGTCCTTTGCGAGTTCAATACCCAACGAAGGCTTCCTTTAATTTCTTTCTCCCGCCGCGCCGCTTCTTTTTCGTTTGCCCCCATCAATCTTGAGCTGCTTAATCCGAGTGTTTATGTTGAATTCCGCTCTCGTCTGGCGGTCGCGGATTAATATTTAACGGAAACAACGGTCTGCGACGTAATTATAAAGTTTCTCGCTCATTTGCATGCTCATGGACCGGGGCGGGCGTTCCGCAGGGTGCCTGGGGGTGGGGTTGGCGGGAAGGCTCGGTATATCGGGGGCGAGGGTGCGGGGCGGATCGCCCCTCTGAGAGGGTAGGGGCCATTACGGGTCAACGCCCCCGCCACGCCCGCGCAGGCCGGCGCGAGCGAGGGGCTGCGCGCTGGCCGGCGTCCAAGCGAGCGCCCTGCTATATACTGGGCAGTAAAATATCGCGCGTTATTAAATCTGAGAGGTGGGGCGACGGTGGCGGCGCCAGTGGCGGCGGCGAGACCGCAGTGAGGCCCGCAAGAATGGCGCGATAGTCCACGGCGCGCCGCACCGGCGCCGGGCACGTGCCGGCTTCCTCCGTTTGATAAAGCGCAAGGTGGAGGCGACCGGCGCGTGGCGGAGCGGAGCGCGGGCGGGGTGGGGCGTGCGCCGGGAGGCTCGGGGCGGGCCGGGTGCCGGGGGGTGGAGGCGAAGTGGAGCGGAAGGCGGCGGGGATGAGCGGTGACGGGACAGAACGGGGCGGGGGCGGGGCGCAGGTGGAGCTGAACGGCGGCATGGCGAAGCGGAGCGGCAACGCGGCAGGGCCGGGCTAAGGCGAGTGGGAGGGGCGGGGCGGTGGAGGGTGTGGGTGGGCAGGGCGGAAGGGGTGCGGGCGGGAGTGGCGGAGTGGAGCGGCTCGGGGCATGGGCGCGGAGCGGGCGGGGGCAAGTTGGCGATGCGGGCGGGGGTTCGGGGGCCCGGGCGGGGTGTGCTGGGTGGGGAGGAGAGGGTGGGGTTGAGCGTGGCGGGGATTGCGAAGGGGTGCCGGGGCATGGCGGAGCCGGGGCGGCGGCGGGCAGAGGCGGAGCGGACGGGGCGGGAACGGTGAAGGGCTGCGGGTAGGCGGGGGAGCGCGGCGTGGCGGGGAGATTGGCGTGAAGGAGGGCGGGTAGGGTGTTCCGGCATAGTGCCGGATATCAGTGCCACGCGGCTCCTCGCGGTTTGCTGGGGACGGAGACCGGGATGGGCCGAGCTCCCTTTCGCCGTTTGCGCCTCCAGCTGGGGAGGCACCGCCTCGCCCCTCCGCACGTGCCTCTTATAAACCCTAATAGGAAGGACGGAATGAAGTTAGCTTCATGAAAGACGCCTAAATTTTGACATCCCTATGAACACCGGTGTCAAACTTATAAAATTGCCTTTCCGTTTTATCGTTTTATATAAATAATAGTATTTTTTTATCGTTCGATCAGATTTTAAAAAAATATATTGAATGATTGATAGTAAGATGTGTTATTCCATTTCTGTAAAGTAACAAATTGTAATATCTGACGCTCGTGATAACATTCAGTGGAATACTCTACAAAACTTGCTCAATTTGCTTTTATTCGCATTAGCCGAATGTACAAATTACGCAACTAATGTAAATCTTCGGGACAGGAATATTTTAACGATCAAAATGTTTGGCTTTCTTCTTCAATGCTACGGTCCCTTTGTAACTCAGTATTAACAGTGAAAATTAATTTAATGTACTAATAAAAAATTCCTCACTTCAGTTCGTAAAGGTGAGCTGGCGAGGCGGATATCGTCATTGGTCTAAGGGGCTGGGGGAAGTGGCCGCTGCGCCCGCAGTGGTGGACGGCAACGGTGACGATGCCCAGGGGGTGGGGGGGGCGGGGGGGGGGCGCAGATTCTAACGTGCTTAGGCCGCGCCGCGCCGCCGCTGATTGTGATCCCATAAGCCTCAGCCGTACAGCCCCCGGTGGAAACTTGAGAGGAATCTTCCCTCGACACACCTTGCAGATGTTAACTGCGCGCTGGTGGCGGCTTGCAATCATTTTTTTCTACGGGCGTAATAAAGTTAGAAGGAGATGTAGAATTACATCAAGTTTTATTATTAATTTATTGGTACATTCCACACAATTGGTGTATGTGGCTTCAACCATTAAGTACTGTACCTCTAAGTACTTGTCATACTTTCCACACTTTGTTTTTTGTGAAGTCTTCGTAAATTTAATGGTCTCCAGAAGAGAAGGTTTTTCAGATCAGCTTCTTTTAGAAATGAAAAGAGATTCTTCTTTTGTTGGGCAATCCTCTCATTTAACTGCATTCTTTCACAATTTTCAACAAGTTCTCGTACGGCGAATAACCGGAATAAAATACATACACACACATGTAATATATATATATATATATATATATATATATATATATATATATATATATATGATACGGCGTGGTATGTTTTCCTAGAAAAAAGATTCATCTCCAGAAATGTCTTTGTTCTGAGATCTATTTTGAAGATTTCAACTCGATTTATTTATTTCTCCAGATTTTCCTCTTGGAACTGATCATTGTATTCACTGGATTGCATTCCAATGCACTATTTAGCTTTCAGCAAAGTTGTTATTAGTATGGCCCGGATTTAAACGACACAATATCAGTGAAATACTTTCGACCTAAAACGTATATATACAAGGCGCTAAAAATTAAATATGACTTATTTAAGTTCATTTCAAAATCATTTTGTTGATTTTTATAATATAATTAATAAAAATTCACTACACCAAAAAATGTGAATATGTTACTTACTGTTTGCGATCTTTGAAACTAACCAGCCCTGTTTTATGAATGTTTGTACGTGTATAAAACAAAGAAGAACAGAACAATAAAACCTATATTTCTCGGTCCAAAATCACGGACAAAACTTCCGAGTTTCATGATGACGTGGGACTTAATTTTTGTTATATTGAACCAATATGCGCTAATATTCAAACGAACAACGGGGCAGAGTGTGCGATATTTACAACAGAAGCGTTCATTGTTGGCTTGCAAAGTATTTTTACGTACTCGCACATCAATGGGTTACGTTAACAAACCGAGTAGGGTCATATGCTTCTTGTATACGTTTCCAAAATAATCCTTGTGGTGTAATTGTGTTGATATAGGACAACATGCCCTGAAACTTTGTCCTTTGAGAAACATTTTTAATGTTTTAATGCTTGTGTTATTAAAAGTATGACAAAAATATGGATTTATGGAGAAAATTGGCCAAATATGGTCTTTTACAAAAAGTTGGTAAATATGACTTTATACACACAATAAAAATACATGTTTAACACGCCGTGTGCGAAACGTAGTTTCTCGTGCTTGTTTTCCATGTACAATGTGTATTGGGCAAGATCCGCCATCCCAGAACACACAAGCAAACAGCCCGAAGGGGATTCGAACCGGCGACCTTCCGAGCCGTGCCGATCGAGAAGCACCTCTCTTAACGATCGCGGCTGCCCAGGTTGGAAAACGTTTCTCCTTTTACTACACGCTTCGGGACATTGATTGATTAGTGGTTCCGGGTACATCAACTGCTAAGGTCATTAGTCCTGTAAATGCAATGCATATGTTTTTGTCGCGGGAGGTGGCGGTGGTTATTCCCCGCTGGCTGGTGGGATCCGGCGACGACCTTCTCGTCGACTTGCAGGGGTTTTCCCCTACAAAGTATCTTCCACAACAAAGTATCCAAAGTGGCATCGTCCCAGATGGGCCAAGTTCTTGCCTCCCGACCCATCTCCTGACATGAGTGATAGTCTAGTGCATGTAAGTTTATTTGTTTGTAAGTAAGGGATGTGGATAGGACAAGGAAGAGGAAGGAAAGATCGCGTGCGGACCGTGGCCCGTTCGTAAAGATACTTGCTCCTGCATTCATCTGGTGTTGATCGGAGAAACCACGGCAAACTATCGATCAGAGCACCCGGCCAGTAGAACTCTCGTTCAGACAGTGGCTGCACTTGACCTAGCTATGTACGCAAAGGTTACTAAATGAGTGAGATGGGACTTACGACGATAGGTGAAAATGGGGAATCAGTCCCTGGAATGGAAATACGAAAGGAAGGAGCATATACTGTCCTTAGTCCAGATTCTGGGATGCTGCTCCGGCATTCTCCTGGAAGCGATCAGGTAATTCTTGGAAAACCACTGCCAAATCGGCCGGTTCGATACCGGTAGACATGACAAACTCGAAGACATCGAGCAAACCGCCGACACATGGAGGTCATGAAAACCGCAATCTCCTAATCACAGGTACGATCGACCAATATTAACATTTCTCACAAATAATATGTGGTAATAGTCCATATATATACTTATTTACTTAGGTGATTAACAGGTTAAATTAGATTCTGACATTGCGTGAGTTATTTTTAAAGTTGCCTACCATGAACTTATTTCAATCATCATAAATATTCAGGACAAGTTACAACATTTAACGTTTTAATAAACGGTTCTTAGTTATATATACAAGGAGCTCCAAATAATATACATTCAATTTTGTACATACTTAAATATCACCAAACTAGAATGAATGTAATAAGACCATTCAGAATAAAATGGAAAAACTTGTTACTTTGTGATAATTAGTTACCGTGGCCAAATGTTCTGGAAATCAGTCGGATCCCAAATAGGATCCCAAGTCATGTGCTATCCTTTATTCCCCAGTAATTTTCCTCGCCCATCTCACTGATGTATGGAGCGAAATTTCGTTGCCAACTGGACTTTTTTTTAGCGTAGAAAGTATAGACTGCGGGTCATCTTAGATCTCTGTCATGGGACCGTGCGAAACGAGAAAATGATTTTGGAAGTGTAACCAACACAGTAATCAAGAGAGCAAACTTCGTTAATATTTTAAATAACATACTGTCAGGAGAACGATGAGGTGTATCCATTCATGATTGACACACGAAATTGAAAGTAATAATGTATGATGAGAATATAGTTATAATTGAACACATAAAAAAGGTGTGTGTTTCTGTACTCGGATAATTTGCGAGTTAAATTTATTCTTCTCGGACCAACGCACCTCAATATAGACTTTGGGAGATACTGTGTGTGATTTCACGTGACTACTTCAAGTCTGATTTGATTACGAAAATCAACACTGTCTTTAGTCTTACTGATGATTCTGCATGTTGCATTATAAATTGTTTATTTCTTATTAAGAAACTCAGATAACGTACTTACTACTTTTGAAAACTTAAACTAGTGGCCCTACAACAGTACATACCCTCTCACATTATTTCTGACGTTTCCAATTTTCCAAAATGTGACCTACATTATTCTTTTAAGCGTCCCTTGTTATGTCCGTTGACAATATATGAAGCAGTTGTTGAGAATATGTATTTTTTACAATTTACATTAACTTACATTCACTATGTAATTTACTTTAACATATTAAGCGAAAACTACTCTTTTTTAAAATAATTGTACATGCCTTTTTAAATAATATAATTATTTAGAACAGATTTTCTTGAAGAAAAAATCTGTATAAGCAATAATGTACTTTTGCGATGTTCATTTTGCATATTTAAAAAATTCAGAGTTCGCCGAAAATAGGACTGCACCACTTTTATAGTATTTTGATACAAAGGAGTAAAACATTTAGAGAATATTTTGGAGCCGTTTTCAACGAAATTAATCGTTAAATTTTTTTAATTGCGTGATTTCCCGCAAAAGTACGCACAAACTACTCAAATTTTCGTAAAATTCGACATAAACTAATTTCAAAATGTCTTTGATGAACATATTTCA